AGCTTTTGGAATAGAGCTTACCAATTTGAGAAGGAAAATGACATTGACCTACTTACAAGGTCACAGGGAAACATATGTCAAGCAACTTCTGAAGAATCAAAAAGCATAGAATCTTGTAAAAATATTTTGCTGGTAGTTTCAACAGATGGAGCCAACAAAGTTTGTGAGGGAAATATTTTTAGTGCAATATAATATTTAATGAGAATATTTTGCTATGACTGCTTTAATATTCAGGTGAGCGATACAGGCCCTCTTGGGCCTCTTGTTTAAATTATTGTAGTGTAGATATGTTTGAAAGGCACTTTGAAAAATGCTAAGTCATCTATATGCAATTTGTTACTGACTGTCATCTTTTGTCTGATGTATGTTATCACTATACCACTGGACAGGCTTCAACCAAATTTGTATGAAGTATTCCTTGGTGATTTGTGAAGGAAAAAGGGCTTGCCATTCTGGCGGGCCCATAAGGGGCAAAAAGGGGTAATTTATATAGCTATACACTTATAACTTATAAACAAATATTCTGACAAACCGACTGTTGTAGTTTGATTTTCATTTATATAAATAGTTGGACTACTTTTCAACACACACTGCAATATTTGCATCTTAAAATAATCCAAACTTCTTCAAAACAGAAAGACCTAGTTGTGATATTTGGCCAGCAACTTGCTGGCATAAAATGCTAGTTTGCATTAAAAATGACTGACCGATATTCAAGACCACAGGTCTCAAATTTGTCAAAACAATTAAAAAAATCTTTTGCAGAACAGAAAGGCCTGAAGTCATGATACTTGGTCAGTGACATGTTGCCTTTGAGTGTTACAAAGAAGAGGCTGTCACAACATTGGAAAACCAGTATATTGCAATACACACACATATTGTATTGTATGGCAATACAGAAATAAAATATGGCTGTATCACAATATTTTTCAGTAGCTTATTTTATAAAAAATACATTTTCCATAAATTAGTGATGGAAATCAGTTGAAATTTCATGATTGATGGTTGGGGTGTTAAAACATTCTCGAATGATCTCACAAGCACCAATTCTGGAAGTAACTGTTGGTAGTGTCAATACAAGAGTTCCTTCCCTTTCATATGAGATCAACAGGGGTCTTAGGAATATTGATTCTGTGCACTGCATATAATATATGATTCAGTTTGACAACACTGACAAGTTCTTTTAAAATTGATCTAAGATAATGATATTTGGCTAGTAGCTTGTTAGCATGGACTGCTACCAAGTTTGTCAAGAAAAAAAGCCATTTCAATCGGGTATCTTCAGGCCCTTTAGGCTTCTTGTAGCTGTATAATGTCACACACTGAATAAGCCTTGGTTAACAGTCTGTGTGCCTGTTTTCAGAATTTTGTTGCCTTGGAAGCTGTAGAAATTATTGTGTGAAGTGTTGTTGAAATTGAAACAGATTCATTTGTGTAAAATTTCATTGTGTTACAGGAAAATTGTGATCGGATTTGCCTTCATGGTGCCAGATGTGAAGTACAATGAAGCATATATATCGTTTCTCTTCACACATCCAGAGTGGAGGCGGGCTGGCATTGCCAAATTTATGATTTACCATCTCATACAGGTGAGAAATATTGTACTATAAGTCTAATAAACTCTCACAGACTCATTCTTTGTAGAAAGAATTTCCTGATGAAACTGATGAAAAGCTGAAAATCTTCGGCATATGCTATTTCTTATTAATTAGATAAAGACGAGACTTATGACATTAACATCTGTTATACATCTTGCTTTCTTCCTAATACATTATAAAATTAAACTGAAAAACAACAGGTAAATTAACTCTGACTATATGAATGAAGACACCATTTGATAAGGATGGGGATGGGGTGGGGGGGCACTACAACCCTAGCAACCCTCATATTACAGATACATAACTTTGTATATTCCTTGGTTATATGTGTACACGTATATATAAACTTGCTGGCGGAATAGCAAAATGAATGAAGTTCCTGCTGTTTAATAAAAGTTTTACATGTTTTTCATAATTATAGGTATCAGTGTAAAATAACAAGTACAATGTAATCTCTTACCAGTCATAATTTTGATGTTTCAAAAATGAATAACAAGTTATGTTCACAAAAATGTTATACATCTGTGGAGCTGTTCTAACAATAACCGTATATATAAAAAATTAAAAAAATGGTTTAAAAATCCTTGTATCACTGCCAAAAACTAACTATGCACTGGGAATCAATTTGTGCGGACAAGACTATAGCTTTGATACTCATTACGGAAAAGATAATCATAGCTTGCGGGACTTTTATGAAAAATAACAGATGAAATAAGCAAAAAACAATCCACAACAGCGTTCTGTTTGTAAAGATCAACAGGACTAGACCAGGATTCAAACCGGAAACGTCAGATTCTTATACTATTGGTCTAACCGACAGACCTTCCTGAACAATGGAAGTAGCCTGGCCCAGATGTGCTACAGTTCCATCCCAAAACAAAGTTTAGCGGCGATTACAGTGAATAATAATGTTATAATATACAACATTTGATATAGTGCTCTATCTAGCTAACATAAGCCACTCTAAAGCGTTTTACAGTACATATATATTCAATTAAAACAATTAGCATATATACATTAATCAATACAATTTTTGAGTAAATCGCAGGAGCTGCCTTATCAGGCGCGAACTACTAGTCATATGCCACCTGGATAATATCTCCCTATGTGTGTATGCCTGCATGTGTGCTGGAGATGTAATGTGTTCTGTTTGTAGTGGGACCTTGCTTCCAACGGCATCATTTATAGTGCCACCTCACTTGAATGCTACAGCACAGATACCGCAACATCTACCCCAGACCAATTTATACTCCACCTGGGTTGTTGGAGTTGTGTGGGCAGGAGAAAAACAGTTTCTCTGAATATCGATGCATACGACGACTTCAGGGATCGAACCCCGCCCGCCTGTGTGGAAGGGCAGAGTGTTAACCACTCGACCAATCTGCCCATGCACTTTGAATACGAAAAACCAAAGTGCATTGGGATAGGGATCCTCAATAGAGAGAAAACCCTTATACTGATTTCAAAAGCTGAATTACTTCCCTTGGGTGTTCTGTGAATTTTGCAATATATGCACATGGTAGTAAATTCGAATGGGACAGGTTATTAGTTTGTAGACAATTCTTTATATCAAAATTTCAACGATTACACTAGGACTAATATCAGCTGCTAATCTGAAATATTGTGTGATATGAATTGTTGAAAAACGCAATACATAAATGGGGAACACGTATTCTGTGGCTTGTTATTTTATTATTTCCTAAAGTCTACAGACCAAGGAAAAATTGACTGTTAGAAAATATATTGATTCCTACCTATCTTGCTCAATATAAAACCCTTGTTTTGTTGTGTGTTTTACAGACGTGTTTGGGTAAGGATGTAAACCTCCACGTGTCCGCCACAAACTCGGCCATGTTACTGTACCAGCATTACGGATTCAAACCAGAGGAGTTCATATTGGACTTCTACGATAAATATTACCCGGAGGATTCACGGGAGTGTAAACATGCCTTCTACCTCAGATTGAGAAGGTGAAAGAGGTCAAAAGACTTGTTTGTGTTGACCAGCGACACGGAAGGCAATCAGAGATGATAGTCACATCACTGTTTTCACCAATACATCGGAGGTGGTAAAGTACCAAAGATCTGTGACACAATCTACCTGGCACACAGGAGGTAGTACAATGTATGTGTAATTGTATGTGACTTTGACAGTATTTTACACTGGAAATCATTCTGATTGCTAGACAGTGTTAACTTCAGACTTACGGGGTACAGTGAATCATTATACTGTTACAGAGTAAGATAACCAGCTTATATGAAATTTCACTTTCTTTTGTATTGTTATTCAACATGCATACCACAAAATCACAATAAACCATTGTCATCAAATAATCATACTGTATGAGTTGTTGATTTATCGAAAGTGCTTTTTAAAACAAAGAAAGTGTTTTATTAGGGGTGTCTATCATTGTTCATTGTCAGTGTGTATCAGAGATATTGCTAATTCGGCAGATATGGTTTCTCTGGGGAACAATAATATCAGACCTCTTCAGTTATTCTTTCTTGCCCATTGAGTTCCTGCATGACTGGATTAGGAAGCCATGCTTCCCTTGAACTAGTTGGTAAAGAAACACACTGGTGGACTCTTTATGACAATGTCCTTCAAAGAATTAATATGCACAAATTAGTTCACAAGTTCCCTCCACTCTCTCTGTACAACAAGATTTTCATGACAGTATGGAAATGATTAAGATCCTCACTTTTAAACGACATATACAGACATTGAGTATAAAGAGAAAATTACACATATTGTTCAAGGGTGTGGCCCCATCCATGGAAACTTTGTCTGTGGGTCGTAACTTGGAAACAGTTGAGATCCTCACCCCATAACCATGTATAAAGTTTCTGGGCATTAGCCATGAAGACAATGATGATATTTAGAATTGACCCTGAGGTCTGCCCACACCCAAGCCACTCATTTTCTGGGTCACAACTTGGAACATTTGAGATACCAACCCTATAACTACATGTTTACACACAATTGCCATGCATAAAGAGACAAGCACATTTATACTACCAGTCTGCCTTGGGGTCTGCTCCCGATGTTGACGTAGTGGCAAAAAACATCTGTCGATCTATGATCGGGATTATCTGGTTTCCTAATTAGTCATTTTCTATACTTCCTCTCTCCGGTCACGAATTTGAATTCTTTGAAGTAGTTTATCGTTTTTGAACATTAACAGAAAGAACTCTTATACATCTTCAATATGCTAGATGGGCTACGTTAGAAGTCTCGAAGGCACAATTGTTTCTTTGGCAGGGCCAGACTTGAAAACGGGAAATGTCTCTTATGTAGTAAAAACTTGGATCACTGTCAATTAGATGGAATATAATCCGACATTCTTGGTCCTGGAAAACACACTCGTGTCTACCTTTACGTGCAGAGATTTTATCTGGATGTCTAGTTCATACATGCTCGTCAGCTGTCCACTAGTTCTGTTGGAAAACTTTCTCTGAATGGTGTGTAGAAAGGGAGGTTGATCCAGTAAAAGATCATTTAAACTTAATCACTGGTGATATTTCATTTTTGACGATCCTAGTCTCTACCCTGATACTTATGTTCAGCGATAGCCAGTGCGATTTCTTTGATAGCTGACCTGAGATTGGAAATGCTGCATCCCTTTCTGCTTTGATTATGAAATTGTTTGGACTGCAGTGGGACTTGGATTCAGCCCTAGAGTCTTTGAAGGAATGGGTCTCAATGCATTTGGTCTTCAGCCTGGATACTCGTTGTTTTTAAGACCGCTTTCATCATAAACTTTGCTTTGGAATGTAGACGGAGTGAGATTAATGCTTTGTCCTGAAATCCATCTTGTATTTGTTTGTCTTCTTTTTGTGGTTATATGCATTCAAGATCCTATATTTGACTACTGTAGTAGGCAGCGAGGAGTATTATTGGTTTCTCTGCTCCTGTTGGACAATGCAATTTTATTTATAAAAAGGAAAGGGGAAAAAGGTTAGGTAATTGCTATTTTGGAACATCAGTATAAAATCAAGAGGATCTCTTTCAGTCTGTGTCCTAAATGTAGAAATTAGAGTTTCATAATATAAGACGCTTCATTTGTCCTTTTTCGGGATATAATTACCCAAAGATATATATACTGGCGTTGTTTGGGATTATAGGTCACATGACCATAGGTCATGGTGACCTATTGCCATCCGTCTTTGTCTGTCGTTGTGTGCCGTGCGTAAACTGTTATAGCACGGAATTAGAATATCTAAGTCGGTGAGAAAAAGGGAATGGATTTTGATAAATGATAAGCTCACCTGCCCAAAGGGCAGGTGAGCTAATAATTATGCCATGGCGCAGCATCCATCGTCCGTCCGTCCGTCCGTCCGTCCGTCCGTCCGTCCGTCCGTCGACTTTTCCATTAAAACGCTACTTGTCCTGAACGGCTTAGTAGATTTTAACTTTGGGCCAAGGGGTCTCAATTTTGTATAATCGGTGGGTGTGGCCCCCCCTTGGGGCAAAGGAGCGGGGCCCAATAGGGGAAATAGAGATAAAACCTTTAAAATCCTTCTTCGACCATAGGGATTAAGGGATTTTATCCTAATTTAGCCTGAAGCATCCTTGGGCCAAGGGGACTCAATTTTGTATAAACTCTGGGTGTGGCCCACCTTGCGGCAGAGAAGAGGGGCCCAATAGGGAAAATTGTGGTAAAACGTTCAAAATCCTTCTTCTAAGTTAGGGATTAAGGGATTTTATCCTAATTTAGCCTGAAGCATCCTTGGGCCAAGGGGACTCAATTTTGTATAAACGATGGGTGTGGCCCACCTTGGGTCAGAGGAGAGGCCCAATAGGGAAAATTGTGGTAAAACGTTCAAAATCCTTCTTCGAAGTTAGGGATTAAGGGATTTTATCCTAATTTAGCCTGAAGCATCCTTGGGCCAAGGGGACTCAATTTTGTATAAAAGGTTGGTGTGCTCCTGGGCAGAGGGGCAGGGTGCCTAATAGGGGAAATAGAGGTAAACCTCTAAAATCCTTCTTCTAAGTTAGGCATTAAGGGATTTTATCCCAATTTGGTTTGGAGCATCCTTGGGCAAAAGAGACTCAATTTTGTATAAACGGTGAGTGTGGCACTCTCTGGGGGCAGAGGGACAGGGCCCAATAGGGGAAACATGGCAAATTCCTCAAAATCCTTTTTCTTCTGTAGGAATGACTTGATTTTGTCCCAATTTAGTATGAAGCACCCTCGGATGAAGTGGAAGCAACTTGAATAAATGGTGGGTCTGGCCCCCCTGGGGCCTGAGGGATGGGACCTAATAGGGGTAATTTAGCAAATTCTGTAGGAATGGCAGAGTTTTGTACATATTTGGTCTGAAGTATTCTTGGGTGAAGGGGACTTAATTTTGTATAAACGGTTGTTCTGGCCCCCCTAGAGGCAGAGAGGTGGGGCCCAATAGGGATATAGAGGAATAGCTTTAATATCCTTCTTCAGTTGGGATGAAGGTATTTTGACCAAATTTGAACAGTAGCATCCTATGGGGGAGGTAAACTATTTTTGTATAAATGATGGATCTGACCCCCCTTGGTGGCAGATGTTTTGTCAATTAAGAATACATGTACAAGTATTTGGGGTGTTCTCAGTTCCCCCACTTTTTAGAGAAACAAAGAAAAGTGTTGATATAGGAAGACAATGGCAAACCAGTTATAGTCTGTTTCATACTTACCGGTAACTTACCTATGTGAAAGTTACCTGTCTGACTTGTAGCTTGTGGCAGATACCAGTGGAATTACTCTACTAGATAATGTAGGCCTAGTGATAATGTTCACGTTACTTTGATTTGTGCCTTAGCATTGTGTAAGTTAAATTGTGATCGCTAACGCGAGTATGTATGAACGTGTGTGTGGGTGTGTGGGTGTGGGTGTGTGTGTGTGCGTGCGTGCACGATACTATTTGTATTTTCAGTTTCAGTACCGGTCACAAAATATTAACAATTACCTGGTCTTTTCCCCCTCTGTTCAAATTTGGTTTTGATGAACGTACTTAACTCTTCATAATCAACTTTTGTATCTGTTTCCTCCTCTGCCCGANCCCCCCCAGGGGGCTGAGGGCGGTGCCAAAAGGGGGCAATTTGGCTATATTGCTATAAACGACTTCTTCTGTAGAACTATGCCATGGATAAAGTTTATTGCTTGGAAATGGTTGAGATCCCCACCATATAACCACATATACAATTATAGGTTTTGTCTGGCGATGCTTGTTGTCACTTGAAGACGCTTGTTGTCGGTTACAATGCTCTAGTAATAGGGGCAGGTGACTTTAATCTATCAGGTTGAAACTGAGAGGAAAACATCTTAAAACCCAATACTCAACATCCAAGTATACACCACAAGTTCCTGGATATCCTGGATGACAACGGCTTAAGGCAGATAGTTAAAGAACCAACTAGAGGACCGAATACTATTTACCTCATTGTCACAAACTATCCTACCTGCTTCCGCCGAGTTGAGATCATAACAGGGATATCTGACCACGACATCATGTACAGCAAGTTGGATCTCATACCATCAAGAAATTTACAAAAGCCTTGAAAGATTCCACTCTACAAAAAACCGAGGTTGGACAACATAACATCAGACCTGAAGGATATTAAAATTACTGTTGATGACATGAGCAAGAATGGCAGCTCAGCTGAAGACATGTACCAACACTTCCAAACAGAACTTGAAAGCAGCATAGAGCGTAACATACCACACAAGACTAGTAGAAAGAAAGACGGTTGCCCATGGGTTACAAAGGAGCTGAACAGTCTTATCCGCAAAAGGGACAGAGGGTATAAAAGAAAGAAAAAATCAGGATGTGAGATAGATAAGCTCAAATACAAAGATCTTAAGCAGGAAACACAAAGACAACAACGAAGAGCATACTGGAAATATGTAGAGGATATAGTAACACCACAGACTACAGAGCAGAGTGAAAACAACAAGTATGGATGTATGAACAGATTTTGGACGTACATCAAACATAAAGGCACGGGCGTAAACAACATACCACCACTATAAGATATAGGAATGCTCGACCCAAACTTGGTCGACAAAGCCAACATTCTTAACAACGAATTTAAGAAAGTGTTCTCGTCTGGAACAACACTCAATCAAACTAAATTTGAAGATCGATGCAAAATGCCACCTATTAATGACATACACATAACCGAAAATGGAGTTTATAAATTTCTGCATAACCTGAAGGTAAACAAAGCTGCTGGACCAGATCATTTAACACTAAGAATCTTGAGTGAACTTGCAGCAGACAAAGCACCAATACTTACCATCATATTTAACAGCTCATACAACACAGGGGAAGTACCATCTATATGGCGCACT